CGAAGCTGTTGCACCAGAGGATTGTGGGTAATGTCCGTCAAACTTCCGGGTTCCTCCATGGGACCTTATTTCGGAAAAAGTATGTACTGTATTGAAGTCAATGGAGAGAGAAAGATTATCTTTCGATCCCATTTGAATTGTGCCACGAATTACACATATGATGTTTGTCAATCTTAAATAATAATTTCCATGTAAAAAAAGTCACAGTTTGTCGTAAAACTGTTGAAATATAAGACTATGAAATGTGTGTGTATGTACAGCTCTCAACATGCCCAGACTTGTAGTGATTTTCACCTCTTTTAATACTTTTAATACCACATTACGTCACACGTTTGATGCGCGCCCGTGATTGAAAATCTCTTTATTTAAAAAATACGGGGAATACGGATCTCGGGGTCTCCCTGCTCCCTGTGCGCAGATGCGATGCGTCATATGACGTCACATGTTTGGCATGTCTCGATTGAATATGCTTTATTTAAAACAAAAACAAGGACAATAAACAAAGCAGTCTTCACAACGGCCGGACAAAATACTTTGAGCCGCCCAATAGCCAAAGCCCGAGACACTGTTTAAAGCATAATAAAGACAATATATAGAGAGCATAATGTTTTTAATGCAATGCAGCAACGTATGCTTCAGCAGAGAATGGCCTGCGGCGGGAAGCATTCGCTCGCGATCTCAAGAAGCCTATGGACATCCCGAAAAGTTGAAAATGTACGCTAAGGGCCGCCCCCCTTGCGTTGGAAAAAGACCACAGGGGACCTTGACATAACGTCAACATTAGCCGACTTGGGAGTGAGGATGTGTTGACCAGTTACATACGACCTTCACACTGAATATGCCGCCTGTAGCTCCATACCACATCTCCCGCGACCCCGATACTTGAGAAGCAATTTAAGAAGGTGGGCCCAGCAAAACAGGTGAATAGAAACAGCATAACAGTCAATATATTACATATTTACATATATATTTGAAGTCACACTAGTCCCAGTCCAGTCTGCTTTTTACAAAAGAAATGTCAAAGATACTCTACATCAGCTCTGCCATGTTGCATGCGAGCAAACAACCTGTCCAAATGTTGTCCAATCGGCCGACCATACTCAGGCTCATACAGAGCACCTGCCCCAACCAACACAACCTCCCCCACTGAGGTGGTCAAGAGATTCAGCCACAAACCAGTTCCCATGGCAGCACAATGGGAAACAGCAGCACTCTCCAACTGAGCAACAGCCAAAACATGCTCAAAACCCCTGTTGGAAGAACGGTCAGCACGTTGATCCTGGACAACCCCACTGCCAAATTGCTCTTAAAGAGCAACACAAACCCATTTATAATTTTTTTTTTTGTGCTTTGATATTTTACGTCCTTATAGAAGGGAAGAAACATTTTGAATTTTAGTTAGCCTTTTTGGTAATGAACTATTGAAGTGATTGTTGTGATAGTGGCATTACTGTTGTGGCGGCTCAATCCCCAGTTGCGTTTGAGTCGCCGAGAGGCTAAACTTGGCTATAAACTGTGACGCGTTTTCGAAGAGAAAGTCCATAGTGAAGCAAGATAGTTTTTGGGATATTTAATAAACAAAATCATAACATGGACAAAACGGTCAACAGAAAAAATGACAGCACAAGCTCACCCTCTGTCATCCGCACTCGACATGAAACAGGTGACTTAAATAGACAAACCACACCCATGTGACAATTACCGGAAGTGCGCAACAAACAAATAAAATTGACGTAAACAAATAATAATACAAATAATGAACTTATGCTAAGTAGCATTATGGCACCTACAACTGTACAATACGCAGGAGAACTCGTCGATGGATCTGTCGGTGTCGGATGTCGGCGAGTTCTCTGGTGACTGCCTGGTGTGTCAGGGCCTTAATACTGTATACAAACAACTTTCCCTATTCCCAATGCTTTTGTCTTTTTCTTGGTTAAAAACACATCATTTAAAGTTCATGAAGTCTTAATTTTCCCTTAAACATTCGTATGATTCTATATCCTTATGTGATTTGGTCAGGGTCATGACTGTTGCCCCTACCAGTTCAGCTATAAGGGTCCAGGTGCTCTGGAGTTTGTGAAGAAGCTGGACATCCCCAAGCAGTCCTCCAAAGGCAGCCTGACAGCCATGCAGCACTTCCAGAACCTGGACAAGAGGGCCACTGACGACGACACCAACGAAGTGGGGACCCTTCACCAGAACAGCATCACGTAAGGGCCAACGCTTTCCATTAAACTACAGACAGAACCCAAACTGAGAAGATTTAGACTGAAGTGGAACTATTCTGTAGCTCTGGACCCAGCAGACTGCAGGCCTTTTGTCAGACAAAGCCTGCTAGTGTTGCTCAATTGCTAGGACTAGGGGTTATGATTATGTTATATGATTCTATATATGCTACATAAATATACATAAAAGCTCGAACTCTGGGGACGTTTTTTTTGTAAAATAGTTATACCTCTTCCTGTAGAGAAAATTATTTGTTTTTAAATATTCCATGTGGTTTATTTAACTGGTTTTGTTGAAATATATTTTTTGATATTAATATTTAAACACATTAATGCAGGAGTTGCAACCTAATTTAGATGACACATACTGTAGAGGTCGTCTTTATGCAAACCTGAAATGTTGCAGAACATTTTGCCTGCATACATTTCGTCATCTGACCATTCAGTTATGTCACGATGAGGGAACCCTCCAACAATGATCGGCCAGTCAGCATGATGTCTTGTTCTGTGTTTCAGATCTTGACCAACAAAGATGATTTTGTTTCAGAATTCGGTTTTAATTTGAATTGGTCAGATCATGAGAAACTCACTTTTTAGGTGCTTATGCATGCACAGGTCAGTTTCTGCTTGGGTCAGAAAACAGGGGATTCAGACCCCCCCCTGTTACCTGCAGGCCTATTAGAATACATACAGCTGTACTTCAAACTGTTACTGATGTCAAGGTGTCTCCAGAAATCAATGTTTTTGATGTTTTTTTGCAACATTAAACACTATTAGTTCAGCTTTTGTAATACGTGTGCATGTGTTGTGTTGTGTTCTGCAGACAGCTGTGTGTTGTGTCTGGGGAGAAAGCCAAAGTGGAGAAATACAGCAGTGTGGGTCTGGATGGAGCCATGGTGATCTGGGATTTTAAGGTACAAAAGTAAATCTGTGATTTAGTAACTAACTGATCTAGTTCACTGTAAAGTGTATTACTTAATTACTGCTTCCACTCTTTGCTTCAATAACAGTTGAGCAAGCTTTGAACATTTGAACATTACCATGTTAGTCACATTGGATTGGTCTCACAATCTTCACAAACAGATTTCATTATATAAAGTCACATCTGAAGTTAGTTGATGTAAAGAAATACTAGAAAAGGTCAGTTGGTTGCTGACATATTTCTCAGATCCCATTCATTATCCTTCAAAGTCACTGTTTATGTTTTTGAGGATAATGAAGTCAGATAAAGCATTGTTATTGTTAGCCTGATACTTATGTTGTATCTGATTTTCTTATCCTCAAAACATAAACAGTTTGGAGGACATTTTGGTGCACTGTATTATAATTTCAAAAAATATTTTGATAGAAATAGTCTTATTTACGTACATAAAATCAGTTGAACCTATAGGGCAAATTGATGTTTGAGAAATGTGTTTTATGAATAATAAAACTTACATAATCTGCCTTTAAAGCACCACATCAGTACAACTGTGTGGGATCTATGCTGACATGTGTGTCCTCTCCCTGCAGCACTAAGACCCCCCAGAGCCGTCCTGCAGGAGACCCACACTCAACTGACCATCACACCCTTTTATCAAATGCATTCGGCTGAATATAACTACAGAGATGCCTTTGAGAAACTGGAAAACACTATAAGCACATTTGCTTTGTGATATTTGAGTAAATAAAGAGTGTACAGGTCAGACAATGAATTGTAGTTACTGGTTCTTTACATTTTTCTGTTGTGTACTCACTGTGTATTGTTGTGTCATTGTTGCTGCCCGACTGCATATACATGTATTTCTTTAGGTTATGACTCTATTTCTGCTTGACTATTGCACTGCCGTACTTCTACTATTTGACCTTCTCCTTAAGGGTCACTCTGCTTAACGGATGCATCGCTATCATCAATGTTAGTTTCTGAAAATACTACTCATCCTATAGAACTGTGTCCCAAAGAATACCTCTGATAATGTCATCAGGGTTGTGCCAGCTTTTATACCATAAATTCTACTAAAACGTGTTTTTATGTATGCAGTTTAACTTTTGTTCTGTGCTTTTATATTATTATATAATTCAGACCAGACGCTGAAATGGATTGAATTACTACAGGAAAGCTTTATTGTAGAACACTGAGCATGTATACAAGCCAGGTGCAGTGTTTAAGGTCGGACTGGAGTCAGGGTCGTCAAAATCAATACTGACACTTGGAACATCTCAGTAGTATTTTGGTGTCATAATGCGTGGAGATATAACTAAGAAGAAGGGTGGGTTGCTGCGGGCCCCTTTTGCATTCTTCAGTACATCAGGATGATAGTATGTCACATAGACTCTGTAACAAACACAAGTCCTGCTTTCAAAATGTTAAAGCAGGACTTATAAATACATGTAAATAAAGCATTTCAAATATAGCCTGCCTGGAGCACAAACAAATCAAGTAGCCTATTCATTCTGCACACAAACCATCAGCCTATTCCAAAATAATATGTTATGTTATTGGACTATTTAGTTATTAATGTAATGTCGTTTGTAGCTTCTTGTACAAACACACAATATATTCAGGGGGGAGCTTGTGAACGTTGAGGGTCCACTGCTGCCAACCTGCTGCTCACTGTTCGTGTGTGTGGGGGGGGGGGGTGTACCTACGTCACATGAATGGACGGACACAAACAAAGCCCACAAGGCGCAAGCATCCAATAGAAACACGTTGGAGCACGCTTGGCCAATCAAAATGAAATGCAGTGACAACATAATTTCACTACCAGCCAATAGTAGGAGGCGAGGGCGTGACGTAGCGCTGTCAGCTGTTCTTGTTTTGCTTCTGTTTTCCCGTTCTTTTCCTCAAGGGTCTGGATAACCGACCTCCACAAATACCCAGTGAAATCAGCTAGTATTTGTTCCGTAGCGGAGAAAAGCAGCCCCCCTGCTCCAGCCGCCCACCGACCTTCCTACAGGTCGGCATTTCTCTCACATTGGAGCCGTCTTCCGCCGACATCGAGCGAAGAGGTGCAGCCGATCCCAGGCCTCCAATCCAGGGCGGAGGGAGGGAAGGAGGTAGCTGGGAATCGGGATGGAGAGCGGAGAGGCGTGCCCCGGCGGAGAGGCAGCGGGGCCCGGCGGAGAGGCAGCGGGGCCCGGCGGAGAGGCAGCGGGGCCCGGCGGAGCGGACGGGCCGGGGCTGCAGTTCGGCTGCGCCTCCTTTAACCAGGACTCCACGTAAGCAGCAGAACATGACATGAGTCAAGCAAACACTCAACATGCTTTAGATCTGTCTCAGACTAAAGGAATGCAGGAGGCTTTGATCAGATTGTCCTGGGATCACCTAAAATCCATAAAGGGGCAAGCCGATTTCATATAGGCTAGCCTATATCAAAACGAGTTTAGCTAATGATCAGATTGAGTATCATCCAAAACATTGCTTTGTCTTCTGGCTCTGGAGAAGATTTCCTTAATTTGAGGAAATAACCCTGATGATGTCATAGTGATGGTTAGGGTTATTTTGACTTGGACACCACTAAAAACAGACATCTAAAAGAGATGGGGTTTATGCACACACCTCTGAAATTGAACATTTTGATCTCTTACTATAAAATGGACACTTATCAAAGTCAGTGTTCTTATAAACTTGGCAAATCCGTTAACCCAGAAGAAGCAGCTGTTTGACCTGACACAACATAGACAATCACATGATAAATTCAACTCGGAGGCAACATCAATCCTATTTGCATGTTTTAATACAAAATAATGATAGGCCTATAGGCCTACTTTCGTATAATAAAACAAAACTTGAATGAAACCTTATATATAGGCTATATATAGGATAGGCTATATATAAGGTTTCATTCAAGTTTTCTGTTTGCACCTTCAAAGCTCGTGGTCAGAAGTTGTACATTTAAACTGAGGATGTTCTGACCTCTGAGTTGTCCGGAGTGCAGCCGCAGACTAAGATTTTATTGTGAAATGGGAAATGTACGATCAATATTTCTGGAATTTGACTCATCCAACTACAGGGGAGCAAAGACAGGATACTGTATTGGACTGTGCTGGACAATACCTGTCTCTCACAGCTCCTGGCATCTATGATGTTAGGTTGGGGTTGCCATTTAAAACACAACCCTATTGACGGCCAGTGTAACCATGGTAACCCATGTTGATGGCTGTAATAGCAGCGCATGGATCAGTAGGGAGTTTCCTGTGCCTTGCTTAAGAACGTCTCTTAAGGGTGTAACTCGTATTGCAGAGAAGCTTCCACTGCTTAGTGTCAGATTATTTTTAATAGTTTAAACACACAATAACAGAGGTCACTGTATTTTAGACAGGCCTGCCTCTGACATGTTGTTAAAGTGCTGAGTAATCCAAAGATTTAGGACATTATAGAAAGAAATGTTCAAATCTGTCTGGTTATGTAGCCTACTATCACCTGTGTGTTGTATTTATCTCCAGTCCATGTTGCAGTAAGAGTTTCAGACAGCAGAAGAACAGAAACTCCATATTTATGCTTTGTCTATATCTTAAAATGACAGATTATATAGATAGATACTTTATTCATCCCACATTGGGAAATTATTAAATCACAGCAGCAGTGTTGTCAAGCATTACATGAGTTAACATATTTAAAAGATACAATAAGATACAAATATAATAAAACAAACAATGACCATTCACAGCAAATATATACAAAATTACAAAAGAAAATACATACTCACTAGAGTATCCAAATAATACACTATAAAGAAACTACTGAATACATTTGAACACTCTACAATTACTTTCCAGAATATCAATCAACTCTTAGCTTTGCAAAAATAATGGAGGACCTGAGAGAGATGCAGCTTCATCAGTTTGTGATAGGACAGGACGAGACAGGACAGGAATGTGCACACCTGGTGGCTATTACCAAAATGACCTGTGTAAGAATAAAGTGATGTCTCCAACACGTACAACTGGGTTACTATAAAGTGTAATGGCCAAATAAGTACAGAAATGGAGGAGACAGAACGTTGGTCAGCTTGTAAGCTTGCTTAAAACATCACATTTATATGTATTCAAATGTAATGGAAACAGGTGAGTTTGATATCATTTTTCTTCCTTTTTTTATGGACAAACAAAATGACAGGTCATCAAATTAACCCACAAAAAACCTGGAATATTAATCTGCCTTGTATCCCACAGCTGACCATAACAAGGCATAGATGGTGTGTATTGATGGACAATACCTCTGTCATTCTTACGCTTTGGAGCTGTGGTCTAAGTCTCTGGAACATCAAAAGTGTTGCTGTCGTTGTTTATCACCTATCTCTAATATGTTGTTACTTATTTCTCATTATCTCTACCATGTTGTTACTTTGCACTCCTGGTTAGCAAAGGTCCGAACCATGACCACTGGATTGGTGGTAGATTTCCTGTTAAGGAACAAATTACTCTATACTCTGGCAACTACTGTAGCAAATGTTCCATTGCTATTTGATTTAATTTAGATTTAGGGATCCATGTGTTCATCTGTTCAAAAACACTTTTGTTTAGCAAAAAGTGACCCTTTGAAACAGCAGTGTGACTTTTATAAAAAATATTCAAGGTGTGCTCCAGCAACTTCATTGTTTACCTTGAAGTTTGGAGACTCAAAATATCCTGAGTTCAGTAAATGCTATGGGTCAGCAGAAGACATGAAATGTTTCCAGAGCTGAGTGGAGATGGACTTCATGTGTACCTGTTATCACGTGACCTACATACCATTACTAAGGTTACTTTATAACTACAGAACAACTGCATGATGACTGAGACAACTGCAGTCTGCATCCACTGAGGGACACTGTTTGATCACATTCAAAGAAAACGCATCAGAGAGATCTATTTGTTAACTTCTGTCATTGGTTCTGAGGGTTGTTGGATCAGATCTCCAGCTGATCCTTTTGTTTCAACAAGGCCATTTCCACCACTAGGGGTCGCTCTGTAGTAAGGACAAGGGAAGGGCTTGCTAGATGTGTACGAGTTGTACTGATGTTTAGTGTGTGTGTGTGTGTGTGTGTGTGTGTGTGTGTGTGTGTGTGTGTGTGTGTGTGTGTGTGTGTGTGTGTGTGTGTGTGTGTGTGTGTGTGTGTGTGTGTGTGTGTGTGTGTGTGTGTGTGTGTGTGTGTGTGTGTGTGTGTGTGTGTGTGTGTGTGTGTGTGTGTGTGTGTGTGTGTGTGTGTGTGTGTGTGTGTGTGTGTCGCAGGTCACTGGCTGTGGGAACAAAGACTGGCTACAAGCTGTTCTCTTTGACCATGGTGGATCAACTGGACTGTCTCCATGAGAGTGGTCAGTATGAGTCTCTGTCTCTGCACTTGATTTCTCTGGCCCACCGGATAATGATGAAGCTCTGCTGCTGTTACACTGAGACTCTGCTGTCCTATTGGTACTCTTGAACACACTACATGTACTTTCCGCTAACTAGGGATCAACCGCTCTGTCAACTAAAGATCAAGTCACTGAATTACTCAAATCCTTTATCTGATTCAAATATACAGTTAAAATGACCAACAACAACTAAATACAAAGTCAGTTCATAACCGCTTCTGGCAGACAACTCCCAGGCCCTTAAAGGTGACCAAATAAAACGGACTGTTACTTTTATTGTTATCATAGAACAGATTGCTTTAGGTTGTTTGAAACATGGGACATTGGGACAATGTAAGAACAGAAGTCCACTAATTATACACCACAGGTCATTTTTAGACATGAATCTATAACGGCATAATGTGTTACTGGTGGATCATTACGTTTCATTGATTATGGCTCATGTAATAACAGGACAAAGACTGCATTGTGTGAAGTGTTGTATCAGCTCATCTGTCCCACACTCCTCAGGTTTCTGTAAAAGCAACACTGAGATTTTGAAATGCTGACACGACCTGTTACACAGTGCATAACAGGTTTATTGTTCATAACCAGGTTGAGCTCTTATTGAGGTTAATCTGTTTCCACTAAATACTTTCTTCTTACATTTATTTCTTGCTACAAGTGTTCAACCTTTCCAGTGTTTGTTCCCCCTCAACTGCTATAAATGATCTTTAAAATATTGCTGTTTACATGATGGTGTTTACTGTATACCTTGCCATAAGAAACAGCTCTGCTGATGTTGGCTTTCTGCTGTTACACTGATCACAAAAACATAACAAAGTACAATAATTACAATGTTCATCATCTTAGTTTATTCTGATAACGTGCTAACCGGATAAACGAGTCAAAAGCTATTTTTGCTTGATGAAAATGTATGTTGTACTGTGTGTGATAAATAGATGAATCACAATTCATCCTGAGGAGAACAGGAAGGTCTGAACTGTATTTCATAACAGTCCATCCAAAAGTTGTCCAGACATTTCATTTAAAAACCCAAATGCACACACTGAGGTTGTGCTAGAGCAGAAGACAGAGCTCACCAATAGGACACATTAAAGGACACACAGGGATTCATTGATTCATGTCAGGATGTACAGAAAATGTCAACAAAGATCAATAGGAGTGCTTTCAAATATATTGCCTTAAATCTGTATCTGGTTTCTGAATATGATCTCAACATAATGTGTGTTGACCAAAAACTCCACTGCATGCTACTATTTATTGTCGGTATTGTTTCTCATGATATCATTTGATTTCAAATTCATGTTGAAGACCACCCATTTTTATTCATCAGATCTAAAAAATGCCAGGCTGACATGTACAATGTTTATTAAATGTTGTACAAACATCTGAGATATAACCATCTGATTGAAATGTCTTTAGTTTGAAGTATCTGGAATTATTTCATCTGACCAGAAGTTAAAGAGGATTCCAGGTTCTAATATCCGAATGGTAAGGATCTAAGAGAAGCAAAATAAAGGAGCGTTCCCATCACTACCTGTGTGACCCCCCCCCCCCCCCCCCCCCCCCAGCAGAGACTCCAGATGTGTACATCGTGGAGCGTCTGTTCTCCAGCAGTCTGGTGGTTGTAGTGAGCACCGCCATGCCGCAGCGCATGAACATCTACCACTTCAAGAAGGAGACGGAGATCTGCAATTACAGCTACCCCAACACCATCCGGGCTGTCAAGCTCAACAGACAGGTGAGCTGCCACACACACCCCTCAAATACTATAGTGGATCCCTTTCTTCATAACATTTAGGAGGTCATTCACATAGCGTTTAGTCACTGGCCGACACGAGGGGGCAGTTTCCTCTCTTGGTGAACTTGGGTTCCCTTCTAGGGTGGAAATGTCATGAAATTCCCACTCTGGGTGCCTTTTCAGTGGAAAGATAATGCAGTGTGGGCACAATGATAACACAGTGCATGTGTTATCAATAATAATGTTCTTTTTCAGTTGAACTTACAATCCTGCCCATCCTCTTCTTTATTGCATATTCCCTTTTATTCATTGCTCCAAGTTTTCAGAACATTATATAATTCTTGAATCATAGAATCAGGTGTCGATATAGCCTGACCTTTAGTGTCTAGTACGGGTCAAGCTCCTGGTACTCTGAATCCTACAATCCCCATAATGCAACTCACCGCTTGGTAAATGTCTGGATCTTCCTGATGTTTTGTAGGAGTATGATAAGAGATGTATAGATTCCAATCATCAGGGGTTTTCAGATCCCTGCAGAGCTTCACTTCATGTCCCCTGTCTCTGGACATGTGATGTCCTACCGTCTGTGGGGCTGGACCATCTGGACGCTGTGGACTTGATCAATGAAATCAGAAAGACACCTAGAATGAACCCAATCCCCTCTGGCCCACTGTCTCTGCTGACACCAGGCAGGAGGGCAAGGCAGATACAAGGAGGCGGGGCAACTCTGGGGGCCGGGGGCCACGGCAGAGAAACTCTGGACGACGGGCAGGAGGGCTGCGGAGACCCCGATGGGACCCCTCCTGTGGCCCTGATGGGACCCATCCTGTGGCCCCGATGGGACCCATCCTGTGGCCGCGATGGGACCCCTCCTGAGGCCCCGATGGGACCCCTCTTGAGGCCGGATGGACAGCAATGGGAGCACTGGGGAAAAAGGAGTCAGGAGGACCACCGGAGCAGGAGCACTGTGAGCAGGAGTCGACCGGGGGCCGACTGGAAGGGATGTGCACTGGGAGCCGGTGTTGGCTGGACCCCCAATGGAATGGTAGGGACAGAGGGAGCCTGTGTCTGAAGGCCCTCCGACAGAACGGGATGTGGTGTCGGCGGGACCCCCGACGGTACAGGAGCAGGAGACAGTCAGGCAACAAGCTCTTTAGCCAGGGCTTATTAGCTACCTCCATCCGTGCCATTTGGAGGGCAGCATCTTTGACCTCAGGCCCTCCTCCAGTCTTCAGAGTGTATTTTAATTCATACAGCTCTTGGTCACAGACAAAAACAGCTGGGTCCATATCTTGGTCGGTTCGTACTGTCAGGAGCAGGGGGTAATCAGGACCCAAATGCAGAAAAAGTATAAACAAAAAGCGAGCTTTATTAAATAAAAATCTGTTCCAAAAAACACTAGAAAAATGTACGAGCAGGAATGATCAACAAAGGAACAAACCAGGGAGACTTGGAGACACGGGACCGCAGACCTGCCTATAGAAGTGTTCCACAAGTTGAGCTAAATAAATGTTTGTAGGTTAAAAGCCGACCGGCTTCTTACTCAAATGTGAGTGCAAAAGGGAGGATTTCTTTGGTACAGAATTGGACCTGTAGGATCACTGTTATGACCGAAGGCAGACTGTTGACAGAAATCAAGTCTATAATATAGTATCATTCAAACAAAAGTGTTTCCTGTGAGCTTTAAGTTCCCTTTGCTGAGTCGACTGAACAGTTGTGGTTTTGACCTTCTGCTCCTATGATTTGTGTGTTTCACTGATGTGAGCTGCGCTGTGCTCTGTCCTGCAGAGGCTGGCGGTGTGCCTTGAAGAGTCCATTTATATCCACAACATCAAAGACATGAAGCTGCTCAAGACTCTGCTCAACACTCCGTCCAACCCCTCAGGTGAGAGAGTGGACTGAACCAAGTCTTAGAGGATCATTCAGGTTGATTAAAACTGCTCTTGTTGTCAATAGTAAAGCATGACAAAGCACTCAAGAGTGGATGGTCATCACACTAATATATATATATATATATATACTGTATTATGCCCTGAGAAGCAAGTAAGAAAAAACATTCTGATATATTTTAAAAATCTGACCTAAATAGTTTTCTTTTGTTTATGACTTAAGAACAGGTGCAATAATTTAATCCTTGCAGTTGATGATGATGATGTTGATGATGATGATGATGGTGATGGTGATGATGATGATGATGGGGACTGACTGATTGTCCGCAGGTCTCTGTGCTCTATCTATCAACCATTCCAACTCCTACCTGGCGTACCCCGGCAGCGCCACCACCGGGGAGATCATAGTGTATGATTCCAACAACTTGGTAAAAAACATATAACACAAAGCACCTGAAATAATATGCTGCAGTCTGTAACCCTGGTTTCTGTCAGGGTGAAGCAGTCAGCTGTTGGAGGACATTGTTTCAGGGTGAAGCCGTCAGCTGTTGGAGGACATTATGTCAGGGTGAAGCCGTCAGCTGTTGGAGGACATTATGTCAGGGTGAAGCAGTCAGCTGTTGGAGGACATTATGTCAGGGTGAAGCAGTCAGCTGTTGGAGGACATTATGTCAGGGTGAAGCAGTCAGCTGTTGGAGGACATTATGTCAGGGTGAAGCCGTCAGCTGTTGGAGGACATTGTTTCAGGGTGAAGCCGTCAGCTGTTGGAGGACATTATGTCAGGGTGAAGCAGTCAGCTGTTGGAGGACATTATGTCAGGGTGAAGCCGTCAGCTGTTGGAGGACATTATGTCAGGGTGAAGCAGTCAGCTGTTGGAGGACATTATGTCAGGGTGAAGCAGTCAGCTGTTGGAGGACATTGTTTCAGGGTGAAGCAGTCAGCTGTTGGAGGACATTATGTCAGGGTGAAGCAGTCAGCTGTTGGAGGACATTATGTCAGGGTGAAGCAGTCAGCTGTTGGAGGACATTGTTTCAGGGTGAAGCAGTCAGCTGTTGGAGGACATTATGTCAGGGTGAAGCAGTCAGCTGTTGGAGGACATTATTTCAGGGTGAAGCCGTCAGCTGTTGGAGGACATTATGTCAGGGTGAAGCAGTCAGCTGTTGGAGGACATTGTTTCAGGGTGAAGCCGTCAGCTGTTGGAGGACATTATGTCAGGGTGAAGCAGTCAGCTGTTGGAGGACATTATGTCAGGGTGAAGCAGTCAGCTGTTGGAGGACATTATGTCAGGGTGAAGCAGTCAGCTGTTGGAGGACATTATGTCAGGGTGAAGCAGTCAGCTGTTGGAGGACATTATGTCAGGGTGAAGCAGTCAGCTGTTGGAGGACATTGTTTCAGGGTGAAGCCGTCAGCTGTTGGAGGACATTATGTCAGGGTGAAGCAGTCAGCTGTTGGAGGACATTGTTTCAGGGTGAAGCCGTCAGCTGTTGGAGGACATTATGTCAGGGTGAAGCAGTCAGCTGTTGGAGGACATTGTTTCAGGGTGAAGCCGTCAGCTGTTGGAGGACATTATGTCAGGGGTGAAGCCGTCAGCTGTTGGAGGACATTATGTCAGGGTGAAGCAGTCAGCTGTTGGAGGACATTGTTTCAGGGTGAAGCAGTCAGCTGTTGGAGGACATTGTTTCAGGGTGAAGCCGTCAGCTGTTGGAGGACATTATGTCAGGGTGAAGCAGTCAGCTGTTAGAGGACATTATTTCAGGGTGAAGCCGTCAGCTGTTGGAGGACATTATGTCAGGGTGAAGCAGTCAGCTGTTGGAGGACATTATGTCAGGGTGAAGCAGTCAGCTGTTGGAGGACATTGTTTCAGGGTGAAGCCGTCAGCTGTTGGAGGACATTATGTTAGGGTGAAGCAGTCAGCTGTTGGAGGACATTATGTCAGGGTGAAGCCGTCAGCTGTTGGAGGACATTATGTCAGGGTGAAGCAGTCAGCTGTTGGAGGACATTATTTCAGGGTGAAGCCGTCAGCTGTTGGAGGACATTATGTCAGGGTGAAGCAGTCAGCTGTTGGAGGACATTATTTCAGGGTGAAGCAGTCAGCTGTTGGAGGACATTATGTCAGGGTGAAGCAGTCAGCTGTTGGAGGACATTATGTCAGGGTGAAGCAGTCAGCTGTTGGAGGACATTATTTCAGGGTGAAGCAGTCAGCTGTTGGAGGACATTATGTCAGGGTGAAGCAGTCAGCTGTTGGAGGACATTATGTCAGGGTGAAGCAGTCAGCTGTTGGAGGACATTGTTTCAGGGTGAAGCAGTCAGCTGTTGGAGGACATTGTTTCAGGGTGAAGCCGTCAGCTGTTGGAGGACATTATGTCAGGGTGAAGCCGTCAGCTGTTGGAGGACATTATGTCAGGGTGAAGCAGTCAGCTGTTGGAGGACATTGTTTCAGGGTGAAGCAGTCAGCTGTTGGAGGACATTATGTCAGGGTGAAGCAGTCAGCTGTTGGAGGACATTATGTCAGGGTGAAGCAGTCAGCTGTTAGAGGACATTATTTCAGGGTGAAGCCGTCAGCTGTTGGAGGACATTATGTCAGGGTGAAGCCGTCAGCTGTTGGAGGACATTATGTCAGGGTGAAGCAGTCAGCTGTTGGAGGACATTGTTTCAGGGTGAAGCAGTCAGCTGTTGGAGGACATTATGTCAGGGTGAAGCAGTCAGCTGTTGGAGGACATTATGTCAGGGTGAAGCAGTCAGCTGTTGGAGGACATTGTTTCAGGGTGAAGCAGTCAGCTGTTGGAGGACATTGTTTCAGGGTGAAGCAGTCAGCTGTTGGAGGACATTGTTTCAGGGTGATGCCGTCAGCTGTTGGAGGACATTATGTCAGGGTGAAGCAGTCAGCTGTTGGAGGACATTATGTCAGGGTGAAGCAGTCAGCTGTTGGAGGACATTATTTCAGGGTGAAGCAGTCAGCTGTTGGAGGACATTATGTCAGGGTGAAGCAGTCAGCTGTTGGAGGACATTATGTCAGGGTGAAGCAGTCAGCTGTTGGAGGACATTATGTCAGGGTGAAGCCGTCAGCTGTTGGAGGACATTATGTCAGGGTGAAGCCGTCAGCTGTTGGAGGACATTGTTTCAGGGTGAAGCAGTCAGCTGTTGGAGGACATTATGTCAGGGTGAAGCAGTCAGCTGTTGGAGGACATTATGTCAGGGTGAAGCCGTCAGCTGTTGGAGGACATTATGTCAGGGTGAAGCCGTCAGCTGTTGGAGGACATTGAGGCTAATAACAGCAGCTGTTTAAAGCTCACTTTAACTCGCAGCCTCTAACAGTTCATTTTATAAAACGGTCACAACATATACATTTCCATAAACTAACACACACCAACAAAAAATGTAATTATTTATTGATAACAAATTATTATTATTTTGCATTTCTTAAAGTTGCCTAGCAACACACATACGCTGTGAAGCTTTATGAAAGAGCAGGCTGTAGGTGAGAATAGTTGCCAGCTATCCTAGTGAACCCTGAAATGTTGAGAACCCCAACGTGTAATGTTATAAATGTACAGTAGGGTCCCCAGCACATAGAGCTTCCGGATGCTAACCTACAGATGTTGGGAAATGTGCGCAATTAGTTTTGTTATTAGCATTAGCTAGCATTATAGCCTATGTGGACAATAGTTAACAAATGGCTTGGCTGATTGTGACAGAGTTGTTTTGGGGGTTATTGAGGACGCTGAATCCATTTCTGACATTTTCAGTATCAAAAATAGCAGTATTACCATGCAGAAAGTGGCCATATTTGCTCTCTCTGTAGGCTCTTTTGATGAATTCCAGGTCGATCTTGACAAGGGGAGGCAGACATATTTATTTAAATAATATTTTGATGGTAAATCAGTGTGTTCAAAGTGCTTTAGAAACGTATTGAAGCCTCGATTGCAGAAGATCTGCTGAGCTTCACTAAATCTTTATTGCTCAATATCAAGAAGTTTTCTCTATGTTACACAATAGTAGCATGTATTGTTAAATATGTTTTAATGTTAATATAGTTTCTCCTTCATACACAGAACAATAACAACATATCAGCCCTATATTTTCCAATTCTAAACAAAAAATATAAATGAACATTTCGACTTTATACAAAAGTAAAGGTGCTGCACCGGACATCTTCACAGTTCAAAATAATCAGCCTGCAGATTTAAACAGTGTGCTTTACTGGAAATTAAACCATTATCAATAATTATTATAACAACAGCACGAGTTATAATAATTAAGAACTGTGTGTTGTGAGAAAAATTGTGTTATGAGCAGTAAATAAAATGTGTCGTCTTAAATGTTTAATTCTACTTCAACCCCAACACTATGATATAATAATCTGTGATAAGAAGTAAGTATCCAACAATGATGTTAAAAAGACCAGAACCAGCAATGTTTATTTTTTTATTTACATATACATGTTTTGATAGAATTATTTCATTGTTGGTCTGCCATATTTTAAACAACATTATACTGTAATGCCGGCCTGATCCTTTACTCTTTAAACCATTTTTCACAAAGAGTCTGGTATTATTGGTTTGACATTAGAAATATTTTACATAAACTTCTTCATCAACAAGCACATTTTCTTCTGGAAATTAAGAATTCAAATGTCACTTTTTTTATTTGATGCCTCGTCATGAAAATAAACATTTTGCAACTTGATGGAAATACAGCCAGCGTTAGAGACATTAACACATCAAATCAAACGATTTCCTTCTTTCAGAACACAGTGACCATGATCCCGGCTCACGACAGTCCTCTGGCAGCTCTCAGCTTTAACGCCTCGGCCACCAAACTAGCCAGCGCCTCAGAGAAGGTAAAACCGCTCTCAGACCCTGTGGGACACGGCACCTTCAGCTCCAAACACCTCAGTCCTGTGAGAGCTGGTGAAGGACCAAAAACAATGAATCCTTGCTTTGTGACGACTTCCTGACATTTCCTTTTACCCCATCATCATGAGCTTTACACTATCTTTTTGCCATCCTGACATCAGCCAAACTAATCTGTTAGTAATGGCAAAATCATTAGTCCATGGTTTATTTCTGCTGATGACATTGTTTCAGATACAGAGGCGTTTTATGGTTGAAAATGTTTATGTGCTATCAAATACTTTAGATAGATGCGAAAAGAGAACAAACATGAAAACAATTGGCTATTTGACATTTGACTCAGTAACATGTTCACATTTCTTTTGTTTTCATCTAACTGTTGCAATGCCCAGTCTTCAGATTGGGTAACCTCATGTTACCACATCGTCCCGCTGCTCCATGTTATTTCATCCTTTAATACAGTTTGAGATCCTCAAAGCCTTGGAATAACAGTTCCATCCTCTGAGGCTAATACACAAGAGGAACAAACAGTGTCTTCGCTTATAACCAGTTAGCAAATAGACATATTTTCCTGAAAACACTCCATTTTTACTCTTTCCTTCATTTTTACAAGTGGTTTGGCTTATAAATATGTGCTTTGCGCCAAAGTGTTTAATCCAAGTGTTTCGAAAAAAAGCTGACTTTCAAACATGTGCTAAAATAGAATATTCAAATGAATTGTAGATGGAATCTTCTCTAAATAAAATGTGAACTCCTGCCAAGAACAAGCACACATTCACAACAGTGCTTGGCACCAGTCAGCATCACATTCTAACATGCGGTTTTCCATCACTCTGGGCACTTGACACTGGGGGGCTGTGATGGAAACTTTTGAAGCAATGGAGTTAACGGCCGGAGAATCGACAAGACATGTGCTGCCGCCACGAGGTGACACAGCGGTTGCTAAACCAATTCTGAAGAACTCTTCTGCAGCTCGAGGTTTTAACTAGTTCGGAGTGTAATAATCCACATTCTTTATCAGTGAGACTAAAGCATTATGGACCCTGAATCTAACTAGAGCTCTCGTCCATAGGAAAGAATGTGCGCCAGGGAACCTACGTCCCTGAACAGTAAACTACCTCATGGCGGCTTGTGCTCTGTCATAGACTGGCAACAACAATGCGCCCAAGCTGCCCCTCCTAAAGAGAGATAGCAGCAATACCCAAGGCCGTAGAACTATGCCGTGGGAAAAGAGACAGTAAAGAGAGAAAACGATGGACTGGGTCGAAGGTTGAATACCTAAGCTAATTATTCCCTAACAGGGGCTATCCAATAACAAAACACCTTCACCTGTATTAGGTTATGCATTAATCCAGAATTGTATTCGACTCTAAGGCTTTGCCTCACATCCCCCAATGACCCAATACATCACGTTACATATAAGATTGTAAGAGGAGGGACACCTGTGCTAGAACATGATGTAAACCAAAGTAAAGATGATGCATCACCGGCTGTCTGTCTCCACAGGGAACCGTCATCAGAGTGTTCTCCATTCCTGAGGGCCTGCGTCTGTTTGAGTTCCGCCGGGGTATGAAGAGGTCAGTGCTTTAAACCTACAATCATACAAGATCTGCACTCTATGAAAGAATCACACTGTCCAATGCCAACAGCCACACATATTAACCAAACTAAATAAACTAGATCATGGTCAGAGGTTTCCGTCACTATAGCCTACTCCAAGAGATTTATCAACTTCAAATTATTGATTGATCCTGAAGTTTTTGTGCTGTGGAATTGTGTGTGTGTGTTTTGTCTGTCTGTCTGCAGGTACGTCAATATAAGCTCCTTATCCTTCAGTCCTGACAGTCAGTTCCTCTGTGCATCCAGCAACACAGAGACGGTGCATATCTTCAAAATGGATCAACTGGGACCAAGGTGCACACACACACACACACACACACACACACACACACACACACACACACACACACACACACACACACACCTTGAGAAAGAAACATTTGTTTTCACATGCCTCATTGAAGAGCCAAATTGATATTAAACATCTGTTTACATAGTCTCACACAACGTGTGCATAGTTGAAGTCTCATGTATCCAGTTGTGTGCTCCCTACTTTACTAGGGTTTCCATTACTATGTAAAACCCTTCTGCATGTGAAAGGTTTGGAAGGACATGAGCTGGATAGATGAGATCTGGATAACACTGAATATGCTGTGTGAGAGCTTTTAAAGACCATTCTCCATTTCTGGATTCTCAATGGAGGCATGCAAGAAAAAATAGGTTTTCTTCAAGAATTCAAGGGGAGACAGAGTAAATAATATACAATTTCCATTTTTGGGGTGCAGTATTCCTTTAATCCTTTGTTTTGTAGCTCTGGCCACTTACTATCATTTTCGATAACATTGTACCGACCAAAGTATAAATGCCGTTTATGATGAAGCCTTCTTGCAGTGGAGGGGACGAGGCGGCCACCTGGACAGCCTACGTGGGGAAGATGTTCTCAGCAGCCAGCAGCTACCTCCCGGCTCAGGTCTCGGGCATGATGAGCCAGGACCGGGCCTTTGCCATCGTCCACCTGCTGACATCCGTCCAGAGGAACGTCTGCACCATGGCTATGTGAGCTGCTCTCTATGATCAGTTTACATTGCACTCAATCAGTCCTCACCTATTGAAGACCTACCTGAGAGTTAACATGTGTGTTTACACTGTGATGAATATTTATATTTGTCTTCACCACGCCTCATTAGGTCCTCACTGATCTAGCTATGACACAGATATTATATTTACTGAAAACAACATTTGGGTGCAGTTCCTTGTCCGATCACTTTTGTGTTGGACGAAAGAGTGATGCCATGATTTTTTACACAACAACTGAAAGAAATACTTGATCTGATGTTTCAGGATCCAGAAGCTTCCACGGCTACTGGTGGCCACCGCTGATGGTCAGCTCTTTATTTACAACGTGGATCCGCTGGACGGAGGCGAGTGTATGTTAGCCCACAAACACAGGTGAGGCTATAACTCCAACCACAGGGGTGGAGAAACACACTCTAGTTTGTCTCTGAATGCAGAAATCCTGTACACATTTCAAGATATACATACAAATCTAAAGATTTATTTTAAAGGGCCCATGTCATGGCCCTTTCCACTGATCATAATTCCATTGTTGAGGTATACTAGAATAGATTTATATTGTGCATTTTTCCAAACTCACATTGGTTTCTTATACAGCATCTCTGTAAACTATACGTGTATTCACTGAATTTCACTCTCTGCCTTTAACGGCTCGTTGTAGCTCCCAAAGCTCCAGCCCCCACCCTCCCTGTGAGCACAGTGTGCTCTGATTGGTCGGGACGTTGTGAATCGCGCTGAGCTCCGTGGAGGTGTTGTTTCCTTGTTTAGGATACATAGCGAAACACAGCCAAACTCATCCTGAGCACACACAAAGTCACAGCCGAAGTAAAAACAATAAGTTTGGCTTGATATTGAGTAAGAAAAAGGTTGATAAACGCTGTGAGAATGGGTCTGCAGAGAGAATTTCGCCGCGATCCCAACTGTCTGTTATCAGCCTGCAGCCAGGGAGGAGAAATCAGCAGAGAGTTTCTCCTCCCAGAGAGTGTGTGAGGAAGTCCGTGGATTGGTCAATTTGGACCAATCAGCGGGAGCTTAGCGTAACGGCTCCGCGGACGTAACGTAATGGCTCCACGGATTGGTCCATTTCGTTCCGGGTACGGCTTGACATCATGCCGTCCCGGAAGAATCAAATGGACAATGACGTATCTCCAACGAGGCGTTTTGGGGAGGTATTTTCTGTGTTAGAGTTTTACTCGCTACAGGGTGTACTTTGAGGGTTTTCACTCTGCACACCGTTTACATGCATAAAAACCTTCATAACACACAAGGGGACGGGTAATAACCGGAAAAGCATGACATGGGACCTTTAAACAAAGTGAGATTTTTCAGTCAGATTATTTGGATGGAATTAGGCCTGGTGTAAGGCCATGTTTTATACAAGATTTGTAATGCAATCTCTTTCAGAATTGTACATGTATAACATGTACAACAGACGTAAACCTTACCAGTAATGAGCGGGCTCAGTGCTTTGAAGATGTTTTCTCATTAGATTCTACATATACAATTTGGAAAATTGGAAAGATCCTGATGATTTGATGAAGGTAAACACAGTGAACTGCTGTGAGTAAACAGGGCCATATTCCAACATTATGAAGTCATACTAATGGAGAATCTATAGAAAATTCCATGTATTAGCAGGTGTCTATCAGGAAGGTCCGCACAAGCTGCTTAAATATCTTGGTTCTCTGTAGCTTGGAACTGGTTTAAGCTGTGACTACTTTAAATCTTCCGTTGTTGCTTTTCCAGCTCCTTCTGCATGGATATGGTGCCTGCATTGCCTAACGCTTCATGTGTGACTTGCACCCCCCCTCACTGACTCTTACGGGACTACCCTTCCTTTTGGGTGTTTTGTCCCTTTTCTCAAACTTTACAGGGAAATCTTTATTTAATTTATGATGCAGTTTACTTAAACATTTTTAACTTCCAAAAAAAAAATGTATAATTTGTTTCACTAATATTATTTCTAATAAATATTAGATAACAACAACAGAACTAGGCCTACAGTAAATTGCATGGAGAGCCCATATACTGTGGCGGCCCCCTCTCTCCCTGCCCAAAAGATATATAAAAGTATTCAGCAGGATGTCTACGAGAGGGACTCAGAGTAAAGTTGTTATATATATAATACATACAATGGCACTGTTCTAGCTGTAAACACAGAATAAAGAACATGTCAAGCTATGTGCTGTTTCAGAAACAATGCGCAACGTGTTTTGGAAGTATTATGGTCTGTGTTTACATTAGCAAGCATCGCTAACACTCAGAGCTAACTCTGTACTGGAGAGAATATGTGTAAAGAAGCAGGATATAAAAAGGTACTCACATTGTGGTAAACCTGCGAGAGAGAAAGCGTTAGCAGCAGCTCCAATGGGGCGTGGTCAGCAGCAGCTCCAAAGGGGCGTGGCCATCAGCAGCTTGGTTACATTTAAAGGGCCTGACCCAGAATCAGCACTTTAGTAACAGGGCTGAAATAGAAGGGTATGAGGCATGCTACAATGCATATTCAGTGTTTACCGCTAGAACAGTGCCATTGTATGTGTTATATGAACTTTACTCTAAGTCCCTCTCATAGACATCCTGCTGAATACACAGACACACAGCTGAGGGAGGGGATTCAGCTAGTGACTGTATATGGGGACGATAGGTTGGGACGTTGCCAGGAGTTCAACGTAAAGCCAGCCCACATTTTAGTAATGTCGTCATGACCGTAGCAAATCTGCATTAACTCCGTTGTACCCCCGTTTTTAGAGATGTGGGTAAAGAGGAAAAGAGAGAGGGTTTTATTTTCTGACACCTAAATGGTGGTGTAGTAGTTATTTTGTTGCAAATTCAAGTTCAACATCAGCATTATGTTGTTGTTATGCAACGCAACCAAAACTTTACTCTATAAAGTATATACCATGTGATCCGTTGTGTGTTTGTGAGATCTAATTTCAAAACACTGCTCCGTGTGAGGCTTGAACTCACGACCTTCAGATTATGAGACTGATGCTCGGCCAACTGCGGCAACAAGCCTGAAGAAGTTCAGTATTGTGTCACCGGTGTTGTCACTGTTGCAACCTCCTGCAAATATGGACAACAAAATACAAAATAATTACTTGTCAGTCTGTATTGTCAAAAACAACAATGTATCTGCACACCAAAAAACTCACACAAGGTCTATGGCCGGCCCTTTATTGTGTCATATTGCAGCGCTCGAGCCTGTACAAAAGATGAATACTATAACTACAACAAAAGACATGATTACACAGTGCATGTGGTGCGCGGCAAGCTGAAAGCGCGCACTATCGCGCACAGAGCTGGAGATTTGGAGGAGTACAGGAAACCTAGGTATGAACTCCGGAGAGCTATCTGCAGTGCAAAGAGACAATACAAAGACAAGGTGGAGTCTGACTTCAAAGGCTGTAACACCCGGAACATGTGGGCGGGACTAAGAACAATGACAATGACCCTCCCAGATGAGCTGAACAGTTTTTTTGCACGATTTGAGAGCAGCCAGGCTGTGGAGGTACAGAGGGTCCAGGAGCTAGAGCCCTGCCCTTTTGTTTTAAACAGGGCAGATGTGTGTAAATCCTTTAAAAGGGTTAACCCACACAAGCTCAGAGACCTCGGGCTCAACAGCGCCCTCTGTGACTGGATCCTGAACTTCTTGACGGGCAGACCCCAGGCAGTGCGGGTGGGAAACATCACATCCTCCACCCTGATTCTAAACACCGGTGCCCCTCAAGGCTGCGTGCTCAGCCCTCTCCTCTACTCCCTGTTCACCCACGACTGCGTGGCCACACACGGCTCCAACACCATCGTGAAGTTTGCTGATGACACGACCGTCATCGGCCAGATCACAGACGATGACGAGACGGCGTACAGAGAGGAGGTCGAAAACCTGACATCTTGGTGCCAGGAGAACAACCTCCATCTCAACATCAGCAAAACAAAGGAGCTGATTGTGGACTACAGGAAGCAGCAGGGAGAGGGACACGCCCCCATCGCCATCAATGGGACTACGGTGGAGAGAGTCAGCAGCTTCAGGTTCCTTGGGGTCCACATCACTGAGGACCTGACATGGACTCTTCACACCACCACCATCACCAAGAAAGCTTGACAGCAGCTCTTCTTCCTCCGCAGGCTGAGGAGGTTCAACATGGACTCCAGGATACTCTGCAACTTCTACAGGTGCACGATAGAGAGTATCCTGACCTTCTACAGGTGCACCATAGAGAGGATCCTGACCTTCTACAGGTGCACCATAGAGAGTATCCTGACCTTCTACAGGTGCACCATAGAGAGCATCCGGACCTTCTACAGGTGCACGATAGAGAGTATCCTGACCTTCTACAGGTGCACGATAGAGAGTATCCTGACCTTCTACAGGTGCACCATAGAGAGTATCCTGACCTTCTACAGGTGCACCATAGAGAGTATCCTGACCTTCTACAGGTGCACCATAGAGAGGATCCTGACCTTCTACAGGTGCACCATAGAGAGTATCCTGACCTTCTACAGGTGCACGATAGAGAGTATCCTGACTGGCTGCATCACGGCCTGGTACGGCAGCTGCACCGACCTCAACCTAAAGCTTTACAGAAGGTGGTGAAAACTGCACAGCACATCACCAGGACGGAGCTGCCATCCATGGAGGACCTTTACTCTCAGCGGCTCAGGAAGAAAGCCCTCAGGATTATAAAAGACCCCCATCACCCCAGCCACAAACTGTTCTGTCTGCTGCCGTCTGGCAGGCGGTTCTGCAGCATCCGGACTAAAACCACCAGACTCAGGGACAGTTTCATCCCACAGGCCATAAGACTATTAAACACCTGAACTGTTGAAACAACATCCATAACATTCATCTGGCTGCTACTTAGAAATTATTTATCTATTTACCTAATATATCCTATTTCAATGACTTGCATATAGACTCTTATTGCACTATTTCACTATTTCACTTTTGTAAACTATTTTTCTTCTTGTATTTACTATTTACTATTTACTTGCACTATATTTGTCTGTTTGTCTGTGTTTTGTGTTGCTCTGTTGGAGAAGCCTGTGACACAAGATTTTAATCGACATAACTACACTGTAGCTATGTTCGTTTGACAAATAAAGAACCTTGACCTTCAACCTTGAGACAGTGTAGTCAGTGGTGCATGTTTGTGCATGGATGAGTGTGAGGTATGCTGTCAGACAGCTGGACAGAGTAAACTAACAAAGTTGAGTAAGAGAGATGCTGGCCTGAGAGCAGCTGTAAGGACATTACAGATGTACTACACACAACCAATGAAGAAACACTTCTGAATGAAGGGCAGTGTAATGGTTAAGTTTGCAAATTCAGTTCAACATCAGAATAATGTTCTATTCCTACACCTCAAATAACTGTTTCATTGTTATGCAACACTCTGCTTTAGCCAGCATGTACTTTGTGTCCTGCATTGTGATTTTTTTCTTTTGATATTAAAACTGTAATATTATCCAGGCATGGTAAAATACGGGAACTTTTCTGCCTGTGGGTTTTGAAAAAGCTTTTCACAGTACAAATCCTGTTGAAGCCAATGGAACTAAAACACTTCTGAATCGTACATTTAGGGTCGGAGACTGCACACTGCGTCACTGATCACCGTGCTCAACATGTGGAAGTCTGAAAGACTCCAAAAAGTCTTAACAAAATGTTGTGTTCTTGTTTTCATTCTTTACCTTCCCTCTCAGGCTTTTTGGTATAGATGATAACGTGGACGAAGGAGAAGAGTCAGAGGGGTCAGAGGTCACAGGGCCAGCACAGGCGTGTCCATCCTACGCTGCGACCGCTGCCTTACCAGTCTCTGGTCCCACCACTGCTACCCTCACTGGTGAGTGGTAACTGACAGGAGCGGTTTGACTTCCCTGTCAGTTCAGCTCATTCAGGTCGTATGTTTCATTAAAAGATTTCCCACCCGAACAGAAGAGATGAACCAGGGTACCAGGTTCTTTATAACTGATGTTGTCCCTGGTGAACAGGATTAGTTTTAGCCTTATACAGATTCATATTAGTCGTTTTTAGCTTTGAAATAAGATATGTAATTTTAGCTTTGAAATAATGCTAAAATTAAATATCTGCTTGTGGTTGGTTAATTTCACACCACTAAAGAAAATGACATTACATGTCACTTCTTAGATGCTTTTATGCAAAGTGACTAACATACATTCAGTATTGTGGGCAATCCCCAGAGGAGTGATTATGGGTGAAGTGTCTTGAACTTGCTCTCCCCTGATACCAAAGATCAGCCCACTACTCCACTGAGCCACAGCCTCCCCCTTCAACCACACTGCTTGGAACTACATGGATATCACCTTAAAGCAGATTCAGATTATTTGTCTGGTCCAACTAACATCTCGAAAAAGAAATAACCACCGTAGGATAAGAACTTATTAAATGTCCAGAGGTTTGCATGTAAGTAAAGATGATTCTCTGCCTCCTTTACCGGTTTCTACCCAGGCTACTCTGAAGATGGCGGGGCAAAGAAAGGCGAAGTCATTCCAGAACACGAGTTTGCTGCTGGACCTGTGTGTCTGGACGACGAGAACGAGTTTCCTCCTGTGAGCATCCATAAGGGTTAACTCTCTCCTACAACAGGCTCCTCTAGAGTCACCACACGGCAGCGTTGAGAAATAATGTCCTCCATTGCTATTCAAATGAGAGCAGAATCAGAACCTTGGACTCAACTGAGGACAAAGTTGTCTTAACATAATTAACATTAGCAATAAAGTGTCTGTGTCGTTGTTAGCATATACCAGGCAAAAACGTTTACAAAACAGTTTAATTCAACAATCCTTCCTCAAAGAAGCTTTTATGATCTAGTTTTGAAAAAGCTTTTTAGAGAAGTGTTGATTCGATGACCCTCGTGAGTGCAGTTTGTTGAAACTCGTCTTCCGAACACTTAGAAGTAATGAAAGAAAATAGGTAACCCCCTTTCATCAGAGAAATAACTCATATTCACTTTTCCATTTTTGTTTGTTTTTTGTTTTGTTTGTTTATTTATTTAAAGGACAGTGCACATTAATCCACATTGCTGTAAATGAGCCAGTATTAGCCAGCAGGCTAATTCTCAACTGTTGTCCTTGGCAAGATGTTAAATAACCATGTTACATTTTCTTTTTTCATCATAGTCAAGTACCTAAGCCGATTTCATAAATGCTCCTTTCTATAGTTTTCTGATTGCCATTCAACATTGTAGGAATAAGCAATGTAAGAATATATCACTTGATTATCATTGCTTATGTGCAAAACAATATGTTATAAAACCAATATAACCTTGTATCATATTGTAATTGAAGTGGTATCCGAGGTTATTTTGTCTTCTGTAACGGCGGGGGAGAATAAAGATCTCATCCTGCAGCTCATCTCAATTCCCGTTTTGCTGGGATGTGTCAACGTTATCAGCTCAACAACTTATATTTACTATATTTTTGCATGGGTCACTCTATATGTGAACACCACTGGGCCCTACAAACAGGCAGTGGAATTTCAAAATATAATATAATAATGTAACAGTGAATCATATTTTAAAGACACACTATCAGTGTTGGGGGTGATAAGTAAGGTTTTGGCAGAAAGCTACATTTGTGAATCCATCGTTAATGCACTCTGAGAGAGATCAGAAAACACTCTTCTGCCATTATTATCTTTCTTTTACATCTCCAGAATGAAAATCATGCAGAAGATATTTCCATAACAGTCATGCCTGGATAAAGCCAAAATAAATATTGATATGTAATGGCCATGAAATGTACAGTAGCACTGATGTGGCCTTTCAGGGTTTACGTTGTGAGGCCTCCTGCCTGATAATGCAGATGTTCTACTAACAAGCCTTATTGAACATCCTATACAGGTAGTATGGCTCTGCATGATGTCACCACAGTAAGTTACTTTATGAGCAGTGCGTACTGTGGACACAACCACATTATATTACAAATATATGTTACATTAAAGTAGAAATGGTGCTGTTTTCTACTCTGTCCTCTCTATGGCTCATGCAAACTTTAACTGTTGCCATCCCCTTGAATCCATCAATAAAAACAATGAAAAAGTGGCACATCCCTGTAAAAGCTTTCCAAATGTACCTTAATTGTGGAAAAATGAGTACATCTGAGGTAAACACAAAAGTTAGCTCCTTCATTTGCTATCTGCTCATTTAAGGGAATAACATTTGGATTTGCTTTCAAGGTAACTAGCCTGCTAACCAAACTACAGTAGCTACCTATTCATCTGCAGTAATAACGAAACATGCATGACTCATTATTTCCAGGTATGATTTGATATCTGCAGAGGTACAATGTTTTGTATGTGTTGTGCCAGAATTCCCCACAGAAAGTGAGACTGAGGGAGCTGATCTGGACAAATCCTGTAGAAAAAGTAACGGGTGTGTTCCTGTGTTTTTGGTAGATTAATTGGTGCCGAGACGGGACTGGAGGTGGCCCGGCCAGGCGCTCCTGAGTGGGTAGAAGGACAGATGGACAGACACAGGCACTGGTGGGATGAACAGCAAAAAAAAGTATTTCAAGGTGCCAAGTTTTTATCCACTTGAGAGCAAGTACTATGGATGAACATACAAGGTGACGTGGGAAACCAAACACTGACCAAGAATGACATTTTATTTAGTAATCCAGAGAGAGCCAGGTTCTGGTCCTCATGTTACGTAATGCTAAAGATACCCTTCTGATTTAGTCACAGCACCTGTAGACCTCTAACCTTCCTCCGTCCTGTTGAGTTTCATCTGTAACCTTGGAACTATAATCAGGGAGTTTGTGTTCGGGGAGTGTTTCCTGGAAGTATGAGGTGCATGCTGGAGCAGAAATATAACCACAACTTTCATAGCTTTTTTACTTGACGAATATCTTTAGTAAGTTGCATTACTGTAGCACATTTGTTTTCTCATTAACACTATTTTAGTTCACTTCCATGATGAAGACTTGTTTTCATTTGTATTCTGTATTTGACTGCATTGACATGTAGTAGATGTTTCAGTGTACGCCCCCTGGTACATTTCAGAAGGTGTGTATGTGCTGTATATTTGTTTGTGCCTATTATCATTTGGAGAAGAGCAAATTATTTTAAAGAATTGCACAAGACCAAAACAAGTGAAATAAAAAATAAACAGTGAAGAAAAAAATGAACCTATGCAAAGCAACTCATTTGTCTTGTTTTTTGTTCTGTTTTATACATGTAATTGTTCACGTGTAAATGTAGCAAACTGCTCCAGAGTGTGTTGAAGGTCACAATGTGATGAAGCCAATAGTCATGTTAGTCTGTATAGTGAAACACATGTATCTCTGGACACCAAAACAACTCACACAAAGTCTATGACCAGCCCTTCATGTTTGAGTCAATGGCTCGAGGTCACAGCGATATAACATCTCTCCTGTGTGAGGCTGAACTCCAGGACCCTCAGAGTATACCTACTGAATACATGGTGGTGTAGTAGTAATGTTTGGACTTTTTTATTGAAGACACATGGCACATAGAAAATACATTCTGTACATCAATGGGAAACACCGTTACAGAATAAAAACAACTTAACTACAATTGAAAAGCCATTCCTTGTGTCGTGAGTAGTGCTCCTGAAGGCAACTCAAGGCCTGACTCCTCCCCCAAACATTCCCCTCATTAGAGCAGGGTATAAAATGCACCTGGTTCCCTTTGTTCTTTCCCTTGGCTCTGCTGTCATGGTCGGTGGTACAGGTAGGTTGCCTAACCAAAATATAGGATACTTTTCTCAGTTCTGCCTGTATCTTTATGCTTACTTGCTGCTTCATTGCAGATTCCTGAAGCTCAAGGTTCCAAATCCTCTTCCTGTGGTTCACCTGCTGCTGTTTTCTTATCTTGACTTAGTTATTTTTGTTTATGCTGTCAACATCTTGCGTTTTGCATAGTTTTGTTTGTTTACTGTGTTTTGGTTGATTTAGTATTTCGATTAGTTTTGCATTTGTCTTACACTTATACTGTACCTGTTTATCATTATTTAACCAACTGGGATCCTTTTTGTTTAACCGTGTTTCAGTTGTTTGTTTTATTTTAGTAAAGCTGAGTGCCGGTCATTGGGGGGGCTAGTCACCCTCACTGTTTGTTGTGATGAAGAGCAACGGGGAGCATGTGTCTGCTGTGTGTGGTTTGCTGTGAAGTATTTGGTTGCACCCTACTGTCACGTGAAGTAGCCTGCCACCCCATTAACTGGCCTCAGCCCACCTTAGTTTTGATTTGCTCTTATATAGACTTTTAGTGTTGCATTTTAGGTCAATATTTTTAACATGTAATAAAGATAATTTAAAACTGAATAGTTATTGTTTTTATAACACAATTTTATCTTACAGCCACCTTTCCTGAGTTATTTTGATTACATTTAAATAAAAATGACTTTACTTTGAAACACGTCTCCGCCCCTCAGTTAACGAACCCGTGTCCTGAATTACTGTATTTTTGTGTCTATATCCTGGGGTGCAAGCCCCCAGGTGGCGTTGTCGGTTCTTTATCCCCTATTTTAGTACTATTAATATTTACAAACACACCACCCCGCCACATTCTGGCGTTGTCGGCAGGATTACTGTCAAGGCAGAGACGTGTTGTTTCTTTATTTGTATCCCAGTTTAGTTAATTAATATACTGTAGGGGCTTGTTTATTTATTGTTGGCAAAACAGAAGCAGGTTCTGAACGGACCCCTGCAGGTCCAGCTCGTACTCTTGTTGTCTCTACAGCCCTCTTTCGTCATGGAGGAGGAACTCGCCCAATTAAGAGACTTGATCACACAGCTGCAAGCCAAGAACCGTCAGAGCAGGAGGTCAACCAGCCTGAGACCAGTGCTGCATCTGCAAGTTCTTCTGCCCCTAGACAGCCTTCTGTCTATGCACCTGGACCAGAGAGAATGGTGTATTTTCCCAGAGACAGGAAGTGCCCAATGTTCAGGGGTAGGACCGGTTTAAGCATTGTTGAGTGGATTGAAGAAGTCGAAGCGTGTACTCGGCATCTGAGACCATTATTGTGCAGATTAAAACCCCAGTGCATGTAGTTGATTTTACCTTCGTCGTGGTCGTCATCGTTGGCCACTGAATCCGCCGTTTGTAGTCCTGCCTGAGTTTCTTTATTTTTAGCCGGTGTGCCGTGGGGCTGTGCACGATTCCCAGGTCGAGTGAAAGCTACTTAACTGGCTTCAGTAGCATTCCCTGGGTCGCGTCCTCGGCGTAGATCTCCAGAAGCGCCGACACCTCCTCATCATTTCTTGATGTTTGCCATAACTGCTTTCAAAAACAACTCCGTCGGGGCGCTGGGTTTTTGTAGCGAGGAAAAACAATGGCGGCTCTACAAAACATTTTCACAGTTGTACGGGGCGTGGTTTGCAATTCGCCCAGCTAATCAGCACTGGGGCACTTTTCACCCACAGGAAAGTACGATCTCTTAGCGGGCTCTAAAAATGGGGGTAAAAGTTCCCGAGATTAAGTACGATTTTTGGTGTGAACGCGACATAAGGGGTACTAACGGAACTAAACGCGAAAAGTACGGTGAAAAGTACTCCGGTGTGAACGCGGCTAATGGCATTACAACGAGAAAAACGCGGCTGAAGGTTAATCCAATGTGTCTGTGTCACTTTGAAATGATTACTGATAATCCATCATTCAATTTTTATGTCAATAACGGAGTTTTCATATAGCTGCTATGATAGCTACTAGAGTATATGACAGCTTCCGGTTTTGGGTATTCTGGCTACGCATCACTCTCACTCCTTATTTGGTAACATGTAGGTGGATTTAGGAACTTCCCCTCGATTCTATTGGCTTTAACGGTTAAAAAGAGATTTCAATCATCAAAATCGATCCGAGGGGGGAAAGAGATATGGAAAATCCACCCAAATGACCCCAGAATCGCTCTAAAAAGGTCAAATGTCACTTGTTTTGCATCAATCTTGATACAGCGTACTTATTATATGTTATAGTTTGGATTCCTAAAGCTTGTAGTCTACTATCCCATCATTCAAGGGTGGTTTTTAAGTAATAAGCAATAATAAGTAATGTTTTTTTTTGGACGGACACTAGAATTTACATTTTTTTACTATGTTCAATCTGAATTTACTTTAAAATAAAATAAATCAATATTGTTTCTGACTTTTCTACATCCAACTCACAGGTTTATCATTGCTTTGAGAAAAAAGATTATTAATTTAACCCTTTTAGAAGGGAAGATATGGTCATTTGTTCTGGGAATGTCATTTTCAAGCCTGAGGCCTGGAAAACAGGCTCAGGGCTTAACAGGTTAAGTACAGGTCACAGGAGGAAAGGGAAGATCCAGTTAAAGTGTTTGGATATATACTACAGGAAATGTATGGGTGTACAAGATCTTATGTGTCCTTGCAGGAAGAGTTATTTTCAAGGAAGCAGCAAGAGGGTGAGACCTTTCAAGAATTTTCTCATGCACTAATGTGTCTGATTGATAAAGTTGCCAGAAAGGCCCCTTTTGATTTTCACACACAAGGGGAATAGAATGAAACCACACAGACTATCCAAAACTGGACTCGAACAGAACTACACATGCTGGCTATTGTGTTTTGCAACATGTTCTATGGCACGTCTCTACTGGGAATTGTAGTTTTAAAAGACGTTTTCAAATCAGTCATAATCACACTGACAGACAAGAGGGGTTTCCGCCGCAGGTTTATATGTACGTAATCTGCGCGACTTGCGCGTCCACATCTCCACGTGCAGTGCTGCATAAACATGGCTGAGTCAGCGATAACTTTCGAGGGGTGGAGGTATGCCCATTATTTTGAGTTCGTCCGAAGAATAGACAGGAATGTGACGGTGAGGTGCAAACTGTGTCCAGGCCAGAAGCTGTTATCCACTGCTGCAAACACCACGTCAAACCTCAACAAACACCTGCAAAGAACACATGCTAAGGTGAAGCTAATAGCTAAGGACCCCCGAACCCAGAGTGAGGATGTTGTGAGTGCGCCGCCGCAAGAATTTGGAGGACCGGTAACCAAAGCAGAGATGGACAGGCTTGTAGCATCCTTCATAGTAGAGGTAATGTTGCCCATTTGCACAGTGGAATCACCATCGCATCGTTCAGAGATATACTGCGCAAAATACAGATAGCAGGAGACAGAGGACAGCCATGGTCAGAGCTATCTGGATCAGTCTTATGCGACAATGGAAACTGAACTAAAGAGAACATTTGAAACTTTAGCAGTCTGCGTGATCTGCCTGTAGGGAGGGGCAAGTTACTTTACTTGCGAGTAAAGTAACGAGTAAAGTAACGAGTTACTTTATGTAGAGAGTAACGAAGTAGTGTAATATATTACTTTTTTTTAAAGTAATATGTAATATGTAATATATTACTTTTTTTTAGTAACGACCCCATCTCTGGGTATGGCCCTACAATATATCATTTAAATATAGCATGATAGGTCCACTTTAAAACACATAATTAATAAATGGGTGAAAATCGCATTTATCCATAATGGGCAGCATTAATATATACCCACATGACAGCTCATTGTTTCTTTGTAATTCTACTCCACTACAATTCAGAGGTTAACCTGGTATTTTTACTCCACTACATTTATTTTAGTTACTTTGCAGATTCTGATTAATGATGTGAAATACAAACAGAGATGGGGTCGTTACTAAAAAAAAGTAATATATTACATATTACATATTACTTTAAAAAAAAAGTAATATATTACACTACTTCGTTACTCTCTACATAAAGTAACTCGTTACTTTACTCGTTACTTTACTCGTTACTTTACTCGTTACTTTACTCGCAGGGCCGGCCCGCCCCTCCCTACAGGCAGATCACGCAGACTGCTAAAGTTTCAAATGTTCTCTTTAGTTCAGTTTCCATTGTCGCATAACACTGATCCAGATAGCTCTGACTATGGCTGTCCTCTGTCTCCTGCTATCTGTATTTTGCGCAGTATATGTCTGAACGATGCGATGGTGATTCCACTGTGCAAATGGGCAACATTACCTCTACTATGAAGGATGCTACAAGCCTGTCCATCTCTGCTTTGGTTACCGGTCCTCCAAATTCTAATTTGTGCTGCTTCGGAGTCGGCGGCGGCGCACTCACAACATCCTCACTCTGGGTTCGGGGGTCCCTAGCTATTAGCTTCACCTTAGCATGTGT